CCCCAACACCCCAAAACCCCAAAACCCCAAAACCCCAAAACCCCATTCGCTATTGCTAAAAGTAAATTGGCAAAATTATTAATAATTGATATTTAAAAATGAGCAATTTAATGGACACTTCAATGGATGATGACTTTCATGAAGGAGAAGGTAACAATAATTAAACCACTTAGTAACAAAAAATTAAGGTTATCATTCCACCCCCTGAAATCAAGACTGTCATTGACAAGACTGCTGCCTATGTGGCTAAAAACGGAGCTTCTTTTGAGAGTTTGATTATGAAAGTTGAGGCTTCCAATCCTAAGTTCAATTTTTTGAGATATCACGATGACCCATATAGACCATATTACATCTAAAAAATAAATGAACATCAGGGTATAAAAATTGAGGATGCCGACAAAGCTGCAAACGCTACGGAGAATAATGACTAAGTAGAAGAAAATGGTCATGAATAGGAGCATGTTAATGGAGAAGTTTTGTAAAATGGTATTGATGGTCAGGCATAAGTTCATGTTCCACCTGTATCAGCAGTTTAATAGTCAATAGTAGTGTAAAGAGAGAATGAATATCAAAGATAACTAAGACAACTTATATTTGGTGACATTGAGGATAAAAAGAGAGAATTAAGACCACCACAAGCTGATTAGTTCAGCATTTCTCATCCTGTCCTAGCCAATATCGATCAAGATGTAATTAAACTCACCGCCTAATTTGTAGCTAGAAATGGGCAGAAATTTCTATAAGGCCTAACAGAAAGAGAAGCTAGAAATCCTCAATTCGACTTTTTAAAGCCAACTCATGGATTGTTTGGTTATTTCACTTAATTAGTTGAATCATACTCAAAAGTACTCATTCCGAGAAATGAACAATTACAGAGACTTTAGAAGTTTTCATAAGACGGCCTAGAGGTTCTTAAGTCTGCTGGAGAGAGATATTTATGGGACAAACTCTAAGATGAAGAATAGAAAAAAAGAGCTGACTAGCAAGATACATCAGTTAGAGATGAAGAGTAAATGCAAATTGACACTATAGATTGGCATGATTTTGTTGTAGTTGAAAAGATTGATCTCTATGATGATGAGGAAATGAAAGCATAGGAAGAGGCTGAAATCGAAGAATTAAAGGAATAGGAAAGAGTTAAAGAATAAATTAAAAAGTAAATAGAAGAGAACTAATAAATCATGAGTATGCCACCAGATGGTTTAGCTCCTCCAATTAAAGAGAAAGCTCAAGTGAATCTTCCACCAGTAAATTAGGTAAAGCACGAGACTTAGACTGAGATCGTTGTTTCAAATGCCTTAGACTCTGAGATGAAGATTAAGAAGAACTATTAAAGAAAGGATGATAAGGTAGGCGGAGCAGTAGGAACACAAAAATGTCCAAAGTGCTAGCAAGAAATTCCTATAAATCAATGGTCAGAGCATATGAGGCTTGAATTAATGGATCCTAAATGGAGAGAAGAAAAACTCAAGCGTGAAGAGAGAGCAAAGTTAAACTCGCTTGCAGATGGTGATGAGATTGCTTAAAATCTAAGAAGATTTACTCAAGAGAGAAGAGATATCTTCCCAAATGCAGGATAACACTAATAAATCTAATCAGATCAACCTTAATTGACTGCTGGCTAGAAAATAATTTGGGATGGTTAGGCTTAAAACATTACTAGAACTACTGCAAATATTGCTATGCTCCAGCACTAACAGCAAAAGAATCTCCAAGAGGCACTTCAAACAAGGGGATAATTAGATCCAAAATCAATGGTAAAACTTAACTAATCATAAAATCCAGTACCCACTGTGAAGAATTTGCAGAACGCCATTTTAACAAAAGAATAGCTTATGTAGAAGTAGTAGTAACAATAAAAGAGACAAATAGAGGATGATGAAGATGAGGCCTTAAATGTCCTTTAAGGACAGTTGAGATCAGAAGCTGAATGGTTAAGACTTTTTCCTGGGAAAATAAGTCTCTCTATAAGGATTCCAAACAATCCAAACGAACCTTAATGGAATATGAAAGGCTAATTAATTCCCTTATCTGTCGATTCTAGAGTGACAATAGCTTAACTTAAAGAGAATATGAGCTAGATTTTGGGCAATCTTCCACCATAAATCATCAGATTAAGAGGACAGAAAAGTTTACCTATGAAAGATTCTCTGACCTTAGCTTTTTATAACATTCCAGATGGAGCAACGATTGATCTAGCTTTGAAATCTCAAGCTAAGTGATTTTAAATTGAAATATCTCAGATTAGATCTACGAATGAAAGCACAATGAGATTTTACTGATAAAGTATAATTAATTGATAAGATAAAATATCCCCATCCTCAATCAATAATTTTTTAAAAATGACTTATGGTTTAACTTATAAATGCAATTAATATATGATCAAACATCATCATCTCTTTATAATTGAGTCTGATGATTCTAAAGTTCATATCCAAATTTTCAGATCGCTTGTTCAAGCCTTAACATTCAAGCCTTGAGCATTGAGAAGTTGTCTTTGAGTTAAATCTTTGCCTTACTGAGCCTTTCTGGCATTGTAAGGAGTATCCTTGGTCTTAAACATGTCTAATTGCTTTTAACTTATTTCCATAGGAGTCTCAATTACATACCAGCATACAAATCTTGTGCAAGGAGGAATGGTATCAGTCCCAACATAGCCGCTGATATAGTTATTTAAAGGTGTATTAGGTGTGAAAATAGTGCTCAAATCAATCTACTGATCATCTCCTGTTTTAGTAAGCCAGTCAAAGAATGGATTGTCATTAAGACCAACTTTGAAAAGTACAGCGATAGCACCATAACCACTCAAACAGCCTTGACTCATTGAAGCTGTATCCTGAAATATAAAGTTATAATCTTATTAATTACATTAATGTAGACTTGCATTTCGAGATCATATTAGGCACTTTGAACCAAATGCTCAGCTGGGTAATGGAATCTCATATACATTGCATCCCACTTAACAATCTTAGTTAAGTCATTGTTTGCAGGCTCTTTGGCATATAATCTACCGAAATTCCCATATACAGTATATATAAGGTTTTCGAATTCCATCTTAGTTGGCTTTACTGCAGTCAAATTATAAGGGAGGAAGACAAACTATGTCTTCAATCCTGTGTACCAATCTGTGCCGTTGTGGTACATGTCTCTTGGAGATTGAACCTTGGTTTCATCGCTGCAGATACCGTCGGTCCAATCAGTACCATTTTTAGTATAATCCCAAGCATTGGTCAAGTTAAGAAGGAGTGCTATGGCTAGAGTAGCTTACGAGAAGAGTTACTTCATCTTTTGCTGATTATATTATAATAATTAGTATAAAAATCAGTCAAAATTAATCATTAATAATTATTACAATTAGTTATATTAATTCAGTCACATTTTAAGTAGTTGTTTAGGGATAATTCATATAGGTTATCTCATTTATTCATACTCACTGAATAGGAACGTTCTTTCTAATAGCAATCATTGGCTCTTGCCTGATGTTGCAAGTACCATTCTCTATTTATTTATCTTCTCTGCAGAGTCTAAAGAATCCATCTTCTCCCCATTTAGGACCCCAAGAATTCTTAATAATCCAATAGTCTTTACAGCCTACAGCATTTTCGTCTGTACCAAATCCAACTATGGCCACTGCGTGATTGCCGGATTTAACCTTTGAACATCCACAGCTGCCATCGTTATCGTGCAGAATTCCAGATTTGTAGCTCTTGATACAGTCATTAATTCTTATTGAGATTGAAACAGTTCCCTAGCACACTAATTTTTCCATATCTTCATTATTGATTTTTTCATAAACTTTAAAGGCATCAATTTGATAAGTTTTGTTCTCTTAAGCATTATATTAGCATTCTCCTTGTCTATTCTTATAGGGATAATACTAAGCTAAAGTGAGACCTTCTGTCATAGTGTAATTAAAAGCAAACTGTCTTCTGCCACCAATGCAGCCAAGATTAGGTAGGAAGTTGCAATCAACTAATTGCTACTCTGAAAATGAGGGCACTTATTCTCTTTCTTTTATTTGATTTTCTTGAGCATATAGTGTCTCAATGGAGGCGAGTGCAGAATGTGCCCAGCAAGATCCACAAGTACTTTGATCTTTTGGGATGCCAACCATTCCCTTTTTAATCCAATCAGCAGATTTACATTTTGGAAGACTGTCTATATAGTCGTAGTCATTATAGTTAAAGAAATAATGGCTTTCTTCATCATGATTGCAATGATATCTATCTTTGTTTACCGGCTAGATCTATATTTCTTTGGGGATTTCTACATTTGGATTTTCTTAAGTTTCGTTTTTAGAATTAGTATTGAAATGGTGAGGTCTAGCTTCTAGTTTATACTTGCGATTTTTCAAGTGCTCTATTTCGTCATTATCCTCTTTAAGTTTGGCAAAAACACTCAGGAATTCTTCTTCAGTCATGTCTGAAAATTTGTTGATGCCAAGTTCATAGCCTTTTTATTAATCATTATGTTCTTGCATCTTTTTGTAATTTTACTTGAAAACTTCGTACTTTGTCTGGTGAGCATCCTTGCTTGAATAGGTTTTACCGAATTTGGCAATAAAAGCAATAAACTCCTTCTGTATATGATGCTCACTCTCTTTGTTATCAATTTATAGGAAGTTTTAGGCCTCCATTATTGATTAGTCGGATGCTAGAAAATATACAGCTGATAGTGTAACAGAGGAGATAGAAAGTGTTAAAGCTAATTTTTTCATTTTTAATAATATTCTTTTCTCATCTAATTACTATTTTGCAGTCAATAGGGGTTTTGGGGTTTTGGGGTTTTGGGGTTTTGGGG